TCAATGTATAGTTTTTTTGCTGTAAAGATTTAAGCACCCCACACTCTATACTCCATGAGACATGATATTTCATTTATCAATATCACTATCATTGATTTGTTCGAGTGGGCGCCAGTAGCATCTCCATTCATCCCTGTCACATGCTAGTGGGACCGGCGACTCTTTCAGGGTCAGAGGAATGAGGACCATCATTGTTACTGTTTTTGGCATATCGAGTACACCACGGGTAGCTTGCCAGGCTCTGCCGTGCGGGCAGGATACCCTTGGTAGCTTGCCGGGCTCCCCGGAGGGAAGGAGGCTTTTGTGACACCCTTTAATCACCTTTACAGGTGTTCCCAGTCAGGCATATATGTGGGCAGGTTACTCTCGGTAGCCTGCCGAGTTCTCTGAGGGTGAGAACTAGATAATAAAGGTTGCGGCCGCGCACTTCTGGGAGCTTGGGTTATAGTCTCTGGATCTTGGCCATTGATAAGGTTACACGGCAGTTGATGGGTGTAACTGTCTAGCTACTGGAAGATGAGGGATCTGGGTGGAGGAGGCCAGTCCCAAACCAAGCAGGCTTAGAGATCTCAGCCCCGGGTCTCACACACCTGGGTTCCTCTGCCAGTTCCTTCATGCATGAGGTTCATCCTAACGTGTGGAGAGTGGTCTCAGCATGGCTGTGGCTGGGTCCCGAAGGTCTTCAGCTCCGAGGCTCTGCTTAGGGCAGAAAGGGAAACTCAATCCGCCCCCTTCAAGGGGCCCCTGTGAGGATAACCAGGTGCAGGGGCAGGAGACTTAAGACTTAAATTTATAATTTATAATTTAATTATATAACAAGTTCATTTATAGACTTAAGAAAATCTAAAGAAGCAAATTCTTTATCAAAAGAGGGGGAAAAAGGCACTTAGGTAAGCCCAGGTTTAGTGAGGTGTCTCCTCCCAGTGTGTCTTTTATTGTGTGGGAGTGGGGGGTGACATAACTGGAGATGTTGAGAGACTCCTCCTGGCTCTTCACTCAGCAATCACTCCTGGCAGTACTCAGGGGACCATATGAGATGCCAGGAATCGAACCCTGGTTGGCTAGATGCAAGGCAAGTACACTAGCCACTGTAATGTCTCTCTGGCCCTCCCAATGTATCTCCTATGGAAGACTCATCCCTTTTTTTGTTCTGTTTTGCTTGGGGCCACACCTAGTGATGCTCCTGGCTCTGTGCTCAGGGCTCACTCCTGGCATGGCTCGGGGAACTGAATCTAGGTTGGTTGGCCCTGTACAAGGCGAGCACTTCACCCACAGTTCTACTACTCCTGCCCAGGACTTCATCTCTTCCAACTGAAGAGTTCAGAGTCCTTTTTCAGACCCTTTCTAGTCATGATTTGTATAATCTTTTTTTCTCTTGAACATACAACAAAATTAATCCCTATCCTGGACAAAAGGTTGGTAGTGAAGAAGGGGAACATGGATGATATTCTGTCAGAAAGCACACGGCGGGGACCAGAGTGACAATCCAGGGGGTAGGGCATTAGCTTTGCACATGGCTGACCCAGGTTCGATCCCCAGAATCCCATATGGTCCCCTGACCATCACCGGGAGTAATTCCTGAGTGTAACGCTAGGCTAGGGGTAACCCTTGAGCAACACTGGGTGTGACCCCAAAAAGCCAAAAATAAAATAAAAAATTAAAGCACAAGGCATAGGAAAGGAACAAATCATTAGATAAACTTTGGGGGAAGAGGGCAGGGTTTGGGCTACACCCGGTGGTGCTGAGAGACTACTCCAGGCTAAGTGCTCGGGAGTGGCCTTTGGCAGTGCTCACGGGACCAAATGCAGTACAGGATGGAACTTGGGACAGCCTTCAGCAAGCAAGTGCATCAACTCCTATACTAACTCTCTAGATAATCTCTAGATAATCTAGATAAAAAGGTAAAGGCCCTCCCGTTGATCGTCGATTTGCTCGAGCGGGCCCAGTAACGTCTCCATTGGAGACTTTGTTGTTACTGTGTCTGGCATATCGAATACTCTCGGTAGCTTGCCAGGCTCTCCGAGAGGGGCGGAGGAATCTCTAGATAATCTAGAAAACCTCCAGATAATTTATAATAAAAGAGAAGTGTGGTAAAAGCCACCAGAAAAGTCCTCTCTACCCTTCCCATCAAAAATCAGACCGTAGGAATCGGTCGGGATAGGAGATGTGTGCAGAAAGTAGATAAAGGACCAAACATGATAACCTCTCAGGGTCTGTATTGCAAACCATAATGCCCAAAAGTAGAGAGCATATGGGGAATATTGTCTGCCATGGAGGCAGGGGGAGGGTGGGAAAGTGGGGGTATGCCAGGGATATTGCTGGTGGGAGATGTTCACTGGTGGAGGGATGGGTGTTTGATCATTGTGTGGTCGTAACCCAAACATGAAAGCTTGTAACTATCTCATGGTGATTCAATAAAATAGTAATAATTAAAAAAAATCAGATCATCCTTTTCAAAGAACATTGCATGTTGGAAGTCAGCAAGCAAGTTGCTAAGGCAGTCTGTTCGGTTTTCACCGAAAACTAATAAACTGAGAGCTTGGAATCCTCAGAGCTAGTCTTTACTTGAGCATTGACTCTGTCCCACCTTTAAATAATTCGGAGTTTTTCTGGGAGGTATTAACCCACAGTCTAGTAAAGCTTTTCCCCATCATGTCTTTTGTTACGTGTGGCAGGTGGGGAATGGGGCACATCCAACTATGCTCGGGGATCACTCCTAGAAGGGCTTGGGAAGTCGTAGGTAGTGCTGAGGATGGAACTGGAGTCAGCCACAAGCATGTCAAATAAATCCCTTAATCCCTCTACTATCTTCCTGGCCCTTCTAATGTATTTCTTTAAAAAAAAAACTTTCTTTGAAGATCAAATATCAAGACAGGCTTGAAAAATGGTTACATGGAGTAATCAAAGTACTTGGGCTCCAGTGGTACAAGGTCAGGAAAAGGTAGGGCAGCCATAGTTGACCCAGCAGAGCGATTGCCTGGCGTGAGCAAGACCCTGCATCTCTGCAGCACCACATGGTGATGGAGCCCCTAGTTAGCCCTAGTGACCAGTCAGAACTGTGACACACCAGAATTGCCGGGTAGAGAGACTCTGAGGTCCTAGCAGGATTAGATGCCAACCCTGAAAAAAATCAAAGAGAAACTGTAGAGAACAGAAGCTACAGCTTTGGTGATAAATTCACTACATACAGACATTGCTTAACAAATATTTGCCTTTTATTTTAGTTACTAGCATTAGTGGTGAATAGCTTTGAATTCATCCTATTTATTTGTGTCTCCCATATTATTATATGAATAACAAATTGTCAGAAAAAAAGAAGCTACTCACCAGTTTAGCTTTTAGGATGTACATGATTGCCCTGAAGTAAAGAAAATTATGTGGCAGTACTTGTGCTGATTTGTAAAATGCTCATCGAGTCATGTAAGATTTGAAAAAGAGCATCTTAATTTTGTAGGTGAGAACTCTGAGCCCAGGGGAAGCGTACTTCCTCTATGTTAATATAGAGGATGTGTCAAATTCTAGATCTTCTGACTCTAAATTCAGTGTCCTTCCACAAAAGTACACAGTAAAAAATCTTCTATATATTACTGGAGTATCCCGCCCACACAGCAGAGCCTGGCAAGCTCCCCGTGACGTATTTGATATTCGATATTCGATATGCCAGACACAGTAACAACAAAGTCTCCAATGGAGACGTTACTGGGCCCGCTCGAGCAAATCGATGAACAACGAACGGGAGGGCCTTTACCTTTTATATTACTGGAATGACTATTATTGTTTAAGAATCCCCCTCAGTGGTGCTCAGGGAAGCTCTGAACACTGTGCCTGGGGTCACTCCCTCTGGTGCTCAGGGAACCACTAGATGGAAATCTGGCTATCTTCCTGCAGAGCCTGTGCTCTGGCCCTTTGACCTATCTCGGGTGCTATGGAATTAAATGTAATCCCATAGTTCATGTATTGATTAAAAATCCAGGATCCCACATCTTTTTTTTTCCCTGTTTTTATGTTATCAGTCTCACTTCACTGAGCATTCTATTTTTTGTGTTTTTTCTTGATACACCATGATTTACAATACTTTTCATGATAGCCTTTCATGAACAGAGATTCTAATCCCACAACCCGCATCTGTGCTTTCTTCCACGTTGTCTCAGGCTCTTTCCCACCCACGCCTGCCCCCCACCCCCATCCATCCCAAACCATGCCTTCGGTAAGCTCTATTCTGTAGACCAGTTCTGGGTTCTGTTGCCTTGGGCCATTTGTTATTATTCCCTTACTATGCTTCTTTACATACCAATATGAGAATAATAGTTCTAGATCTGTCCCTCTCTTTAGAAAGAGATTCCTGTCAGAGAAGCTGCTAACTTCCAGTTTCTCTAATAGAAATCTTCTCTCTCTCCCTCTCTCTCACTCTCTCTTCCTGAAAATGCTTTTATGCATTTGTACTTTGTTTCAAATCGTTTGTAATAGTATGATCATTAGCTAAAAGGAAGTGAATGATATCAGAATTAATTAAAGTCAAACTTGAGAATGGTTTCCCCTGAAGAGTGAATAGGGTAGTACATGTCCCCAGGAAGGCTGTGAACTGCCCTTCAGTACATTTTATAACTTGGGTCCCAAAGAGATACTCCTGAGCTCAAATACAAAAACAAAATCTGCTGCCTGGCTAAAGACAAAATCTGGTGTCATTGTCATCCTCTACCAAAGAAGAATCTGGATGACTACAAGAATAATTCACGGTGAGAAGCAATTCCTCAGCTGAAAACGCCTTGGTTACTATGATCTTAAAAGATCTAAAAGGAAAGAATCTTCCTGATTCTGTATTCACAGTTAAAGACATGGGCCTCAAAGAAATATCCAAGTCAGAAAGCTACGCACCATTCAAACAAAATCTGGTTGGCAGGAGAGCTGTGCCCAGGATCGGTGAGCTTCCCTCCCTAACCGGTAGGTGGGTGTGTTTAGCAGAGAGAAGCAATGGGAACCGCCTGTCAGCCAGCCCTGAGAGCTAATTAGCTCAGCCTACAACAAAGATAAGTGAGCCTGGGAGGAGGGCCCCCTGAGGGGTCTTTAGATTCTGGGAAACGTCTGATTGGCAGATGTTAAAAGGGATTCTTTGGTAATCCTGTGCATCAATGGGCTGCACAAATTCAGCCCAGGACTGCAGGAACTCAGGCATGAGGACGCTGTGCAGCGGGCTCCCACAGACAGACCCGAGATGGACAGAACCTTGGAAGCTCTGAGACACATCATTGCCCAAGTGCTGCCTCACAGAGATCCTGCCCTGGTCTTCAAAGACTGTAAGTACTGAAGGGGAAATGGTGTGTCTTTTTTTTTTTCTGTAGCAGTTTTAGAAAATGGATCTAAACGTCTCGTCACATCCCATTTAAGTATGATTTCTCCTAAATCTCTGTAGTCGTGTGCTGTGGTCCAAGTGATATTTAACTTGTTTCTGACTGAAGTTCTGCTTTCATCTCACCTATGATCTTAGCCGTTCCATCTTGGTAGTCGGTTAGAAGCTAAGTCTCTCCTAAAATCAAAGGGTCACCTAATGACTTAATGAACTTTCCCACACACTTAAGTACAAGCAAGACTGATTGGTACTGGGATTCAAATGAACATGGACTTGAATATGATTGTAAAATATATGTCTTTGTGAATCTGTTTAATTCTCCATAACATGCAGTAGTTATACTCAGTCGAAGTGCCCGTGCTGTGCTTGAAAATTGTTGTTGCAAACCAAACTTAACAATACTGAACTCTTACATTTTGGCAGTTAATTGTAATACTTTAGTTAAAAACTCAAAAAAGGAGAGGGCTTCCTTCTCCCCCACCACTCTCCCCCCCCCCCCATCACACCAATCCCCCAGGGAAAGTTGTAAATGGCTGTGGCAATGTTATTTCAAAATATTTTTTAATGATTTTGAAAAAATAATTCAATCAAGTTTTCCCATTCTAGCAATACCATTAAACCATTTGTCATGTAACTTCGTTTCTGGAACCAATTTGATTTCCTGCTGCCACAAGACAGACTATCTTCACTTTGCATCTTATCTACAGTGGGTTTCATATTACAAAGGGCTTCTGGAAATAGAACTTTACTGCCCAAAAGGTATAATGCATATGGATTTTTTTTTCCTTACTTCAATAGGTTACAGGTTTCTTTGTGAATCTCATTATGTCTGTCTCCATCAAAACATCAATGGTTTGGATTTTTGCTTTCTGATTGCTGAATAATGTTAGTTTCCAGATGTCCTTTTAGTTTATATTTCTCATATGTGACGAAGAAAGAAATGTTAGGCCATTTTATTCCATAAATTTTTCTTCTTGGAAATTAAGTTGTAAACAATCTGCCCTCCAAGGCATAAAGTAAAAGCTTTCCTATCCCTTCTCTTCTTTTCTTCCTTCCTCTTTTTCTTTCTTTCTATTCTGTCTTTCTCTTTTATGTTCTTTTTCTTTCTCTTTTATTTCTTTTTTGTCTTTCTATTCTCTTCTTCTGTCTATCTGGTCTTTCCTTTTCTTTTTTGATCTCTTCTTTCTTTAAACACTGCCTTCAAGCATGTCAATAGCTGCCAGAACTAATAAAAATCACCCTCCTTCAGTCTCTCCTGGAATCTATTCAGGTTTGGTATGTTTCTTTAAGTGAAGGAAAGAATGCCCCCCTCCCACAATAGCACTAAATTCACTTAGTGAAAGGAAAAAGGACTTTTGACCTGCCCTAAGCTGTGGGTAAATTGGATAGACCAGGGGCTATCACTGACAGTCTGTATGCGGGTAGAAGAGTGAAAGGAAATAGAAAAGGTTTTTGTTTGTATGTATTTTTTTTTTAACTGAACTCACTGTGAATTTAAGAAGCTCATTAGGGAATTTTATGGCTCACTTTTTTTTTCTTTTTGGGCCACACCCGGCGATGCACAGGAGTTACTCCTGGCTCTGCACTCAGGAATTACTACTGGCGGTGCTCAGGGGACCATATGGAGTGCTGGGAATCGAACCCGGGTTGGCCGCATGCAAAGCAAATGCCCTACCCACTGTGCTATCGCTCTAGCCCCTACGGCTCACTTTTTAAACTGAATTTTTCCCATGAAGAATTTGCAGTTGAGCAGTGAGAATAAAATAGAAAGGGAGTTAAAAGGAATGACACCTATTTTGCCATCCAGACCTTTGTGGGAACTCATATATGAAACGGACGGCCTCCTATTTTGTACAAAGAACCCACACTGATCAGATAGTATTGCCTGCCAGAGTGTAGCTCCCCTGCACTGCATGGCCTAAGGTGTGAATATTATAGACTGCTAATTCTCACCCTTTGGGTTTTTCTCATCTGAAAAATGACGAAAGGAAAGTAAGCCAAGTGGCAAAATTTGCACCCGGTTTCCTCATGTCAAAACATCCTAACTACTCATAATCCTCCTGGAATATATGGGAACAAGCTTAGTTACACTCTGGAGTAGGTCATCAAAATACCTGGGTAATGCAACTCAAGGCTCAGAATTAGCACTTGGACTCTAGCACTGGTTTTTGGCACAGGCAAGAGTTGGTTCCATCCCCCTCCTGCTCTACACATCCTGTCAAGGCTAGCATCAGTCTGGAGTGGCAGGTTCTGAGCCTCCTCTCCCAGGCACTCCTGGTTCTTCTTCCCCAGTTAAATCCAATCCTGCCAGAACCAAGGGGCTCAGCACACGTTACTGTCAGTTACTTAAGAAAAATTACTCCTGCACATCTTATATTCTGCAGATGAAAAGCCAATTCAAGAATTTTTAAGACCCAGCAAAGTTGAACAAAGAAACGCAACACACACACACACACACACACACACACACACACACACACATACATTCCCTCTCTCGCTCCCTCCTGCCTCCCTCCCTCTTCATCTCTCTTTCTCTCAAAGTATTTTCTCTAAGTTTATAGGTAAGGTAAAGGTAAAGGCCCTCCCGTTGATCGTCGATTTGCTCCAGCGGGCCCAGTAACGTCTCCTTTGAAGATTTTGTTGTTACTGTGTCTGGCATATCGAATACTCTCGGTAGCTTGCCGGGCTCTCCGAGAGGGGCGGAGGAATCGAACTCGGGTCGGCCATGTTGGCAGCGTGCAAGGCAGACGCCCTACCCGCTGTGCTATCGCTCCAGCCCTCTAAGTTTATCTTGTATAAATACAAAGGCATTTGTCTCACTGTTGGTTGGCTAGGCATAATTCAGGGGATGTAAGTCATCATTCAGTTAATTGGCTGCCCTCAGTTGGCTTTTGATTTTATTTAAAAATAAGCAACAGTAAACTGAATTTTCTCTTCGATTTTTCTATTTTCAATTTTCTGTTTCAAGAAGATGTACCCAAGAGCTGGAGCGATAGCACAGCTGGTAGGGTGTTTGCCTTGCACGCTGCCAACCTGGGTTTGATTCGCAGCATCTTGTATGGTCCCCTGAGCACTGCCAGGAGGAATTCCTGAGTGCATGAGCCAGGAGTAGCCCCCATGCATTGCCTAAAAAGCAAAAAACAAAAACAAACAAACGAACAAAAAAGAAGACGTACCCAGATAGTTTCTGGTGTATGATAGAGGCACATGTAGATAGTTACGGTCATTTCAGAAATAAATTTAAATTCTCCTTTTAGTCAAGGAGGCCTCCAAGCAACATTTTGCAGTGCATTAAATGTCTCATTTGCGGGGCTGGAGTGATAGCCCAGCAGGTAGGGCATTTGCCTTACATGCAGCCAACCCGGGTTCGATTCCCAGCATCCCATATGGCCCCCCGAGCACCGCTATGAGTAATACCTGAGTGCATGAACCAGGAGTGATGCCAGTGCATCGCCAGGTATGACCCAAAAAGCAAAATAAATAAATAAATGCCTCATTTGTTTTCAACAAGATGTTCATAGGGCAATTGGCATCATTTGTATTGTGTTTTATTTTCTAGAATGAAATGAATTTCATAACATTTCATAACCCCCGCCCCCAACTCCCGCAATTTTGCTTAATTCACTTTTCAAATGGAAACTGCTTAAATAAAGTGGACCCTTTGGGTGGGGGTTGGCGGGTGGTATGCCACACCCGGAAGTGCTCAGGGCTTACTCTGTGCTTGGGGTCGCTTCTGGTGGGGCTTTGGGTACAATATGAGGTGCCAGGAAGTCAACCTCCAACTGGGGTCAGCTGCATGCAAGGCAAGTGCACTACCCACTGTCCTATCTCTTTGTCCCCTAAAGTAAGGTCTTGACTTGAAGTTTGCTCTGGCTGACTTTGACCTGCTTTCTACCACCCAACCGCCTCCACTTTCTAACAAGTAGCCCTGGGACTCTCTCTATGAGCTTTTCTCAACTGGGGGCCCTCAACATAGTCCCAAAGGTTCACAGGTGAAGATTTGCATAAACGGGGGCCACATCATGAGGCTACAAGGCCAACTGGTAGGACAGAGTGGGCACAGGAAGGAAATAAGGTTGGAAGGGGGCCACAGTTGGGGAGAAGGTTGAGGGGCATTGCTCTAGTCATCTGAGAGACTGCAGAGGAATGGAACGTGGCTCCATGGTGCATTGCGTGGTTGGCTTTGTGGAACCTACTCATCAGATGACAAGTGTACCACACACACTCATCCACCATCTTGGGGTTCTTCATTCAACCATTCCCAGTAATGGCAGGATGTGGTTACAGCATTACTGTAACTATTACTGTAATTATTGTAAGGGCATATACTCTTCACAGCAAGGCTGACGGTATGAACTCTTCATAGTGAGGCAATCTGCCAGATATGTGTGTGATTTAGAAGTGAGGAAGCTGAGGACCATGGAGGGGAATGCAGTTGCTCAAGGTCACCCAGAGCCAGGGTTCAGATGGCATCTCCCAACTCCTCCCCTTTAAGCCACAACAAACCATCACTCCTCAGAGGAGCTTCTACAGTCCTACAGTGTCATGGCCATCACCATTCGTGCTGTCCGTTAGGGAAACAAAAGTGGGGTAGAGAAACGCCTGCTGGGACTCGAGAGACCAGTCGAATTGGCACATCTGCAGAGGAGATTGAGAGGGGAAGGGCATTTTCAAAGAGAGGGTGCAGCAGGTCCAAAAGTAAATCAGGTAACACAAGAGGAATGTGATGAGGAGGTAGGAGGGAAAGAGGGTGGAACGGTAAGTGTAGTCATGCTGAAATACAGGGACTTGAGGTCTTTGGCCTTGACCATGATCCTAGATTAGTTCTGTGAGATCTGACCTGAAGTTGCATGGGGGGGAAAGAAGATACTAACATCTGCTCTGTGGTACTTCTCTGACACCAAGTTGGAGAGAGGATTGCAGCTTTTTCACAGCACTCAGACATGG